GACGACCAGGGGCGTATGGGTTTAGTGACGTCTCGTTTTACGACTTTCTTTTACCAGTGGTGGCGGCGGTTCGACGGTTATCACGATTGCGGTATATGTTCCTATCACAAACAAATTATATTAAAATTATTTTTTTTACATTTAGTGATAATAACAATAAGCATAATAATATTTAATAAAACACTTTACTTGTTATATTGTAAAATAAAATTGAATAAAAATATTGTAAATACAATTTATGTAAAATATTGAATAATATAGTATTTGGTGATGAAGGTTCTATGTTAATTTTTATAAAATATACTAGCGGCCGGTGAACCTCGATTTCGTGTTTGTAAAATTCACCTTCGAGGTGGTCGAATGAAAATCGCCGTAAGTGAATATCCTTAGTCGGAGACAAGACTAGAGAAAAACCGTAGTTAGAAACGTCTAGTAGTCAAAAGTTAAATCTCGCGACGAAACCGGCGATAACAACGATTGCGACGTTGTTATCACAGATTTGATGGAACTACACTTTGGCGGTATCGTTGCGAACGCGTAAATAAAATTCTATAAAAGCCGAATTCGAATGACTAGTAATTGGTCATCACACGTGTAATACACCTTGTCGGTCGTTTGCTCCGTGCTTTTTGTGTATATGAAATAAATAAAAATACATTCGAAAATAGTAATTGAGTGTGTAGCTATCAGTCACCATCAGGTGTATATCAATACTTCGCTGGGCAATCCGCCTTTGGCGGTTTGTTATACATTTTGACATCGAAAGTGTTGTGCTGTTAGGTACGCAAAATAGTTTAAGTCGAAACGCGAATGTGTAAAAGGCGAAATCGACTTGCCCAGAGAGAAAGGCTGAGAAAAAACATTCGACGGCCGCCTTTGTTACTGTTACGACAACGGCTATGGCCTGAATCGGCGTACGAATCTCACACGTACGGAACGAATAAGACATGTTCTACGTGACAGAACGGGAAACGCGGCGGAAAAAGGTCTCGAAAAGCCGAAAATACGGGTAATCGAGTAACAATAACGACTGATGACAAAAACTGGCCGTTGATGGGAAGATAACGGCGATACGACGTGAATAAAAAAATCTAATTGTCCGATGTATTGGTATCGGTTTAAAAATTATAAATAATTATTTAGGCCATGTTGAATTATCGATGTATTTTATTTTCTTCTATACTGTAAATTGCGCCACTGCAGCACAATAATATTATTCTGTTATACTTACTAATGTCGATCAACGGCTTATATATTTTGTTATCGACTACCCGACTTATATATACATACCGAAATTATTATTTTCATCTTTGGTTTTCGTGAATTTTATTCTCATATAATTTGATATCTATATAATGTAAATTATTATTAAACAGTGAAATCTATCTTGATTGACACCTGTATATATTATATAACGGGCAATAATATTTTTAATAACGGACAACTATCCAAGTTTTAACTTCGAAAATCAAGTAGTATAATAGGCATAAATAGTAGTGACGTCACATTGTCTATTGATTAGACCGACGGTTCCAAACAAACTGTTATCACGGTTCATTCCATAAGAAATACATGGATCGAAACAAATATTTGAAAAAAAATTGATTTTAAATGCATTTGTGTTTTTTTAAGTGACGACTATTAAAAACATGTTCTTTACAAGTTTATACATATTTACCGACCAAAAATATGAAGCCAAACGCTTTTTTTTGTTGTCAATACAAACAAATTACAATATTTTGTATTTTTATGACGCACACATTTTACACAAAATTTTATTATTAACATTTTTTACTATTGCAATTTTTACATAGAAGTATGTACTATTTTCCTTCTATTTTATTCCATTTTACACAATAAATATGTTTTATGACTATACTAATATATATCTATTTGTTGTGTTTTTCTTTTTGAGCCATTTTCTTGCACATTCTTTTGCTTTGGTGATCATCTGTGTGTCACTGATTTTCTTTTTGAAGAGTATTTTCAAGGTGAGTTAGTAATTAAACATGTTTTACATAATATTAATATGTTAAATAATTTTTGTCCTAGTGTTTAAAATGATTCATTGTTGGGTTCCATTGTGTTCTCATATTTCCAATATAAACCAATATATAATAGAAACCTGCACGTTTTTTAGATTTCCAGTAAATGATGTTGAATGTAAAGTCTGGGCTAAATCAGTGAGATAAATTACATTTTAAATAGTTATATTGTGTTAAATATTCACATACATAATTAATTTAAGTTAAACCTTATTTTTGATTACCTATAAAACTTTTTACATGACAGAAGAGCAGATGCATATCCCACTAAAAGTAATAAAATATGTAGCTGTCATTTCAAAAATGGCTTTAGAGAAAATAGACCTACTGTATTTGAATGGAATAAAAACTCATTTTTTTCATTTATATCTCCTGAAAAACAAAGTATGCAAAAGAAAATAATTACCTTTTAGATTCAATTCAATATTAACTAAGTTTATTACTGCTTTTTTTAAAGTAATTTATTTGTTTCATTATTTTGTTTTATTAATCGTTAGTTTTCTTTTGTTTTTGCAATACTTTCCCAATAATACTTGTTGGATTAACCTTGTTAGTGACACAAGTCCTTTACTTAAATATCTCCTATCCAGTGGCGGTTCTAGCGTATGGGCAGGGTGGGCAGCTGCCCATACCAAAATTTCTGGTGCCCATTATTTTAAAAATGTTATTTTTATACAAAAATAAGATGGTTCATAATTTGATAAATTATAATGATAATTTACAATTATATTATTATCATTACATTGATGACGAACTTACTAATATACACGATTAAAGATATAATAGGTATTATATCTTTAATCGTGCTAATATATTATCTATGTGATAATGTCGTTGCTATAGTAGAGCTTGCCGCTGTTTTAGCGTTGATAGTACTATCTTAGTTCATGGCGGAAGCGAACTACACCAGACGTTCGAAACGGTAGCTATCTTCATAATAGCCGGCATAACGTGATAACAAATTATTACATATTGTGTAAATATAATTTGACTATTGTATTGTTTTTTTCTCATTGTGAATTTTCGTTGTTTCTATTAATTTAATATAATGAAGAGATTTTTAACTCATTTTTTCCAAACATAAGGCCGAAAAAACAATTGAAGGAGACACACCTAAATCTCCATCAGTACATACAAATGATTCTACAGCTAGTGAAAACACCAGTGTAAATAGCAGTATTGCTTTTAACCCAGAACATTAAGACATATTTAAGATCAACTATGAAAAGTTCACGATTAAGTAGTCTTACACTTTTATCAATTGATTTTGAAAACTCAGACAAATTATTAAAAGATCCAACTGCTGTCCTTGAAGTTTTTTCAAGCATGAAAAACAGAAGAATACAATTTCAAATTTAGCTTACAATATTTTTTAAAATTAGTTTGAACAGTCTGAACATTTTTGACAGTTAAATTTAAATATATTTAAATAAACATAATTATACATAATTAGTTCAAAATTATGGATTACTCTATTTTTTTTTATATTTAAAACCTTTATTACCCAGCTATTATAATTAATATGAATATTTTAAGCTATACACTATAATAATAGGTAATAATACTCTAATTTTATTATATAAATGTTGTGGGGAAGGGGGAGGATTATACGCAGTTAAAACCTAATTTTAAATCTACTGTTGCCCATACGAAAATTTAGTCCTAGAACCGCGCCTGCTCCTATCTACTAGTCATACTAGCTATCTTCATATCTCTGTACTCTATTTAACTATTACTTCTTTTATATTCCCATCCCTTTCCTTCTTTCTACATTCATCTTCATCAAAACCCTCACCAATTTATTTTATTTTTGTTTTAATTATTGTATTTGTTCTGTAATAAATAATTGTAGATATTAATATAATATATGTGTAAATAGTTCAAAATAAATATATGATCTATGTTTAAAAGAAATAAATATCCGTTTATTTATATTTTATAAAATCCCTTGTTTATCTCAAACTAATAATAAACTACTTATAACTTATAAATATTGTTGTATCACTAATAAATGTGTTAGAGTAGAATAAAGTTAGAATTAAGTTGTAAAATCTCAATGTAAATGAATTAATAAGTAAGTATTTTGACCACAAAAAAAAAGCGTTTAGCTTCATATTTTTGGTCGGTAAATATATATAAACTTGTAAAGAACATGTTTTTAATAGTTGGCACTTTAAGAAAAAAATACAAATACATTTAAAATCAATTTTTTTCAAACATTTTTTTCGACCCATGTATTTTTTATGGAATGAACCGTGATAACAGTTTCGTTTGGAATCATCGGTCTTATCAATAGACAATGAGACGTCACTACTATTTGTGCCTATTAAATTATATTTGATTAATTAATAATATGTTAAAATTAAAACCAAAAACGTCAATTTGCTGTAGATATCTTTTCATATTAAATTAGAAATAGAAATATTTGTCGATTAAAATACTTTTTTTGAAACATTTATTATTTAATTAGGTATTTAAAGCCTTAAATGTGTATCCCAAATAAGATACCATTGGACTAAAACTATTAGGTAGATTTAAACTATAATTTATTTAAATTTTACATCAATATTAAATATTTATATCAAATTATTTCTTTTAACTAATTCTTCTTAATGCAGGTAAATTGAATAAAGATCTTATCAATAATGATTGATCTGAACTAATAGATGGCCAGATAGGCAGTCCAATTATAATTTTATTAATCATGTATTAAATGAGAATACATCAACTATTATAATATTAGATAATATAATCACTTAAATCAAACAATAAACAAATATAAAATTGTATATTTATTTATTATTATTTAAAATTATAAAACTATTTGAAAATTATTTGAATATTTAATTGAAAAAAAAAACGAAATTTTTTGAAAAATGTTTTAAAAAACAAAAATTATTGGAACAAGACTTGGAACAAACTGTATTAATTATTAAACTCGTATTTTTATAATCATTATCCAGAACATTGAATCCAACTAAAGCCTGTAATATCTGAGCACAAATTTGATGTTGCGTTGAATGAGCGCCTACGCTTGATCGGTAATTTGAAGAGTTGCTGCATGACTACAATTGACGATCGTTGATGTGGTTTATCTTTGTCCATAGGAGTAGTCGTCTTAGTAATATCAACGTTATCATTCGCGTTTGACTGTGTACTGAAACTATCAAGTAAAAAATATTTACATTAAAACTGTGTTTAGTTCAATAAGTAAAAGAAAGCATTCTCGTGTTACTTTAGTTAAAATAGAGAATAGAGTATAAAAATACTAAAATATTTTGAGCTCAATTCAATGATCAACCAATAATATTATTAGTGTTATATATACCACTGTTATATAGGTACTAAACTAAACATTAATATTAGAAGTACCTAGTGCAGCGTTTCGCTATACAACTAACCTCTTGTTACTGTCTTGAATCACGGCACTCCTCTTGGTCTTCCTGAATGGGTTGGGTCGATTTCCGAAATTCTGTAGAATGTAACCTCGTCTCTCGTATCGCTTAGCTATTGACTCTATGGACTCAGTGGTTGTCATATCAACCACCGGCGATGTTGTTGTCTCGTCAAGTTTAGTCTTGTTAAATAGTAGGAATATATACTCCTTGTTATTCTCGGGGATCATCAACTGTGGGCGAGAAAGCACGTCTAACAAGCCAACACACGAATCATGCCTGCTAATCGCTATCCTGAATGTAGCGGCATTTTCGTTAGCCATCTCGTATAACTGCGATAAGTATAAAAGTGAGTTAATGAGAATCAAAATTAATCAATATTGTAATAACCTAACTCAGATTAGAGAAAACACGAATCCTGGGAAAATGGATTCTATAGTTAGATCAAAATTATATCAAGTTATCATTTATATATTTTTATTTACTACAAATAAATTAATAGTTTTAAAAAATGTTTATACAAATTATTATTCTACAATTACAAATATTGGCAAATACAGTTTCAAAATCTTATTAAATATTATTGTATTATCTTTATTAAATCCTGTAATATGGATTTATTTTAATATATATATAATTTTAAAATTGAACTTCTCGCAGTATATAGCATATACTGTTAGGTATAAAAAAAAATGTATTTAGTTCCATAAAAACAACAGTTTACTTAATTCATTCTAAAATAGGTATTACTCATTTAAAATATAAAATTCAAAATATTAAATTATTTACATATACGTTTACTATTTATAAAAATATTATTTAATTGAAAAATATCCTTTTATTATTAATAAAATGAAAATATATTTAAATCAGTTCTAAAGAATTAAAAAAAAAAAAACAAGATGATTTAATAACATATTTAAATTTAATATACTTACTGCACATCTGTGATTAGATCTTTCCGTCATATTAGAATCTTCATCGTATAACTTAATGTACAAACGTTCATTCTTGACATCTTCTGACAGTAAAAGCGATTTTGTCAAACAGTAAAAATGTAAATATTTCATACCTAAACAATGCGCCCGAGGGCAACAAAAAAAATACAAGAGCTTAATTAATTTGGTATTTATTTATTTCAATCGTCATACATCATGAGAGTTGATTTGTGGATCTCGAATAAAAATATAATGCCTAAACGCTCTAAACTATTGAATGTCTTAGAATGTTGTCGAAAATAGATATGATTTAAAAATTAAATAAATTAACGGGAGTATCCTCATTAATATCAGAATGTTTATATTAATGTTGTTTTAATACTTTCTTATGTTTCAAAACTCATTAGGAAACAAATTTGTAAAAAATAAAGAATAAAAAGATGTATTTTCCAATTGTATTTTTACCAAAATAGTAGTTTTTATGCGTAACGTGATCACGACAACGTTGCTCGCCATGTTGATCACCAAACCACAAGCTAAATGATTGTTGTATTATATCACTAGAATTGTAGTTAATGTAGGCACAACCATCGATCGTCGACGAACCTGAACTCATTACAGTTACTTGATATACCTCAGATTCAATCGGCGGACATCTTTCTTGTATTCCTGGAGTAACTATAATACATAATAAGTAAAGGTAATTAGTTGGTTTGGTTTTTACAATGGGTATATTACTAGGCGTGTTACGAGAAAAATCAAACTGGGAAAATGGGATTTGAAAAAATAGGAGTTACCTACTCAAAACACATTAGTGTAATTAGTTTAAGTGTTGTAACTTAATGAGAAATTAAAATATAGATGTATCGCCAATTGGTAAAAACGAACGACAATTATAAGAAACACCTCTAAAAAACCTTGACAGATGAAAAGTGTACTTTTAGTTTATCGTTCAACTTTTTAGAGTTCGGAGTTAGAACTATGAAACTATTTAAAGCTTTATCAAAAAACTAAGCTACACAACAGTGAAAAATTTAAAGTACCATATGAATCCGTTTAGTGATTTTAGAGGAAAAGTGGACAACATTAATTAATTATATAATAACGGCTGTAACAGTAAATAACAAATATTGACTGTCATAAATTACCTACTTATAATCTGTAAATAATTCTAGCTGGAGATAAATAAAATCGTTTATTTTATTGAAATAATTGTACAATGCAGTAGTGTACTTACGGGGAGAGGAATATATATCTACTCCTTTGGCCTTCCCCTTTTTACTCCCTTCTCAAAAAATTCTAAATACTCCATTTTAGCTTAAATGTTAAGATATGTCTGTCACAAATTAAATTAAAAGTGAATCACCTTAATTATTAAATATTGAAACCATAACAATATCAGTATAGAAATGTATTTTTTATTAATACCATCAGGTATTTCTTAATAAATTTAAATATAATTATGCATTAAAAAAAAAAAAAAAATGAACTACCTATTAAAAATGTCTTTTATGTTTATATAAAATTCATATTATGATGCTATCAAATATACTCGTATTGTTAATACATAAATAAGATTGAGTAAATATGTAATGATTTCTAATTGCCCATTATTTTAGAAACTCACAAAATTTTATTTTTTAAGAATACTATAAAAGTATATATAATATAAACTATATATATATAAATATCTATGTTAATATATTTTAAATCATAAAAACTAGAGTTTAGGTCTTTATCTAAAGCTTTAGATAAATTACAGAGTGACAAAAACATATCCTTAGGATATTTACTTCCTATTATAAAATATAGTAAATAAATGTAGCTTTTTGCAAGCCACTAGTAATTACTCTTGAAAAATAATTAAATTTTTTTTTGTTAATATTTCTCAATTCTTCACACTTCTCCGCTTTACGTTTTAGTATGTTCCACACCCTACTTCCTTAACTACTTAGCTTATCTATTTGAGTAGTAGCCTTCCTCGACTTTTCTTCCCTACTGTAGATCCTTCTATTTATTAAATAAATAGGAATATCCCTAATAAAATTGAAGAACTATCTAAAAGGTAAACTTAATTTTGTTTTTATACTTGTCGAATAGTTCCATGAGTTATATTATCATAATAATAGTCAACTTTTTCATTCGTTAACACTTGTTTGAAACGTACATGATAATAAACCAATAAAAATATTACTACATAGTATGTCATAACATAATATTTAAATATATTTATATAAACCTATTATATGAATTTATAAAATTTATTTTTAAGATTTTTAGGGACTTTATAATCACTGAATATAATAAATGAAAAAAGAACAGGTAAAACACACAGCGATTATTAACATCTTCATTATTTTAATTTGTTTTACACCTAATTTTCAAATTATGTCATTAATAAATTATTTTTTGGATTCATAAGATGTATGAGATAGGTAATAAAGATGTGTAAAGTAGCTGCATGTTGGATTCAAAAATTAAAATTGAATTGTATAATAGAAGATAATCGACTAAACATTAAAAATATACTCATGAAAAACATAATTGATAAGTCATTAATCATATCTGTTGAAATTGAAGTCACGGTGGACTTAAGATTTAGGTATTTCCGTAGTTAAATAATATAACTTTGTGATTAATTTATACTGTAAAATAACTTTAATATAAATATTTATTGTTTTTTTTTTTCATTTTTGAACCAACGGCGTTGTGAGGATTGCTTGTGCATTACTTTCGCGACGCCGCAAAACTTTAATATAGATATAACATTTAGTAATAACCTATAATTGTACTTCATTAGACTGTATTCACAGTATAACGTTAAACTAAAGAATGTAGGCGTACATCGAAATTCAAAAGTCCCTATATATACGCCATCATTGATATTACAATAAACTCATAATATGCTATCAAGTATCATTTACATAATTTACTCACAGTAAGCCATCATTGATATCGAGAAGTTTAAGGATCAATGGTTGATCAAAATATTAAAATGGTGTTTTGATATTATGTTTAATGTCTATTAACTTAATTTTTAAAAAAACTTGCTCAATCTTGCAAAATTGTAAAAATATTTTTGTATATAATAGTAGTAATATTATGAATATTTTTAGCAATTAAATATTTAAATTCTAACAAAATACGAAATGAGAAATTTAATAAATGTACTTACTTTTTAGCATAATAGTAATAGTAGTTATTGTGAGTACGACCATCGACATCATGGTGTTGCCTTTTTGTAAATGCGGGTAAATAAAACGAAATAAATGTAAGTCAAATGAAAGTATCTGTATGGACAAAATAAACGTATTAAGAAGACTGAAACGCTGATGAAGTGAAACAAGACAGGAAACTAGATGCACACTAAAGCGATACGCTCTCCTTGAGTAATTTTATAAGTCGCCTCATCGGTGTTGGTAACGGGTAGTGGTGAATGGTGATAGCCGTACCCACCACTATTTGTATATAGAAGTGACATCATTGGCTTGCACCGATCAGTACTCCCGCCCTTCAGATAATATAATGTATAACAAATATAATATATAGCTATATAGATATTATCTAGCTTATAAGAAATATAACAAAATTGTAACGACCACAAATTTTATAATAGTTAAAAAAATAATATTTAAAGTGCTTACCGGTTTCAGACGTGAGTTTCGAAATTATTGGAAGTTATTATAGTTATATTAGTGTGAGGTTGTGGTCTACCGATGTAATCGTAAATATGGTAACACAATTAAATAAAGGAGAGACTTTGCCTGCAAAATATTTGCTAGCTACATGAAAAAAATACATTTTCAACATTTTTTTATGAACATTGATTCGTCAATCGTAGACGTAAATAGGTCTTCAAATGCATAAAGCAAGGGATTGAGTCCAAAATGTTTCAAGAACAAAAAGCATGGGAGATTTGTCTTTTACCTCCTTACGTCTTACACATACGTTTATCTATTATACATTTTAATTATCAGTGATGTTTAAATGTTTAAACTACATGGCGTAATTGTATCTGCACGCACAAGTTCTAATATAGATACTTATTATTGTCGTCTGACAATGCAATTTTATTATGCAAGAGAAAAATCATACTATTTCGATACTCAAACAAATAACATTCGATCATGCAGGTGCAAGTAATTTAATGCGAGGTGACTTGATGGCGCCGATCGTATATTAATAATCCAATGACAGTTGTTTCTTTTGAAACTGTCAAAAAAAAATATATAGTTGATACAACCAGAAATTATTGTGTCCTTCATATATAAATGCTTATAATTTATAGTCGCCAGTTGGTCTTTGGCTGTATAGTTTTTCTAAACTGTACGTACTGTATTGTAGATGCAGGTAGGTACCTATACAATTATACATTTTCTGACCCGAATTCTCACAGGCTATCCACTGAAGGTAGTTTAAAAATGTATTATCGTCTCTAATATAATGGAAAAATGTATATCACTTCGAACAAATCTGTAACATGAAATAAAAAATAAAGAAATACCCCAACATTAACTTACTTAGATATTTTGTGTATTGTATATGTGATTATGTCTTTTTAAAACATTTAGAAGAAATTTACTATAAATGTATGGATAGATGGGTTATATTTGTGTGGCGCCAGACTTACGGTGTCTCACCAGGCCAAAGGTAAGTAATGTTTTGTTACAGGTAATGCGTTTTAAGATGAGTATCGGCGGCGGTATATCTTTAATTGTTCATATTTTAGGCGCCAGTAGGTATCTAAAAGTAAGATTTTGAAATTGACCATTAATGTGCGTTTTTTATTGTATATATATAATGTTTATGTTGTGTGCTGTTATATCTGATCATTGCATTGTGATTTATAATCCTTTACTAATGTTTGATATGTACAATTTTGTATGGTTTGAACAAGTTTAATCTTACTATAATATCGTTATAAAATTATAATATAAAAATCTATTTTACACGTATCGATGAAATACTTAAGACAAAAAGAACGTAAATATATTAGAAAATCATATTTATATATTATAGGTAATCATTAACTGTCAGCTTATAATATTACGATTACGGGTTAACTGTATATAGTGTATATGTACCAAGCGTGTTGAATTCGAATGTATTTTGTAATTGAATTTTGAATTGTAAACTGTTTGCTAAGTACCTACATCATAACATAACATATACATTACACAGCTACAGCTATACATATGATTTACTAATTATCTGATTTGTATAAGTGTATAATGAAATTGCATTAAAGTTTCGTCTGTTTTTAAGTTCATACCATAATATTATATAAGTCTTAAAAAGCCGAATATTGAAAATCTATGTATTATTATAATATTCATAATATTTAGATTGTTGAGTTTCCCTACAACCAACAAATAAAACAAAACGTGTTGTCGATTTAAACTCTGATGCAGATAAAAATAAAATAATGTTTGTAAAAATATTATTAGTTCACTTTATTTTTGACCTATAGCCTGAATGTATTACAACTTAAAAAATGGTAAATTCTGATGAATATGTCATTAGTAACTACTTATTTTAAATAACTTATTTGCTTCGTATTATTTTTATGTGACTTATATATTGATTACAAAGTAAATAAGTAGACTTATGGACTTTCGAATTGTATGAGATGCAATCGTTATCGTAAGTAGGTACCTAATTGCCAATAAGTGAAACGAAATGGTACAAGATACCATAATATATCTGGGTTGTCTATATATTTATTATACCTGGTTGTTTATAATAATGCATGAACTAAATATTTTAATTTTAATTTTGATTTAGGAAGTTTAGCTTAATATAAAGTGTTCCTAAATATCTCTAATAGTTTTCATGTATCATGTATTCATAATTTCTATACAATTATACGAAATATCACATACGTACAGGCATAAGAAATTAGATAGATTTTATAATTATGTTATCTAAGAAAAATATTTATATTGTTCACTGTTACAATAAAAAATTTAAAATTCAATCGGGTCCAATGCTGACAAAGCCGGAAAAATCTGTTATTATTTTATAAACTGCATACCAATATTATAAAAGTTATAATGCTGTTTTAAAACTACAGTCATACTACTGTATCCGGACAAATATTACTTGAATTTATGAACACGACCGATGACAGCGGGGCATAAGAAGATAATATCACGCAATGTCACGCTGGAATGCACGTCCCTATACAACTACAGATGCTAGATGGTTTCCGATTCATGGATATAACAAAAATGTCAAGTACAATGTAGATTTTTCCACGGGTACAATTGATACTCAACTTGGTCGTCCAGCTGTGTCCAAACGTGTTATAAGCCCATGTCGATTGAACCTATTGTTCAGATTTAATAATATAAAAATAATAAAAATACTAATCCTAAAATTATAGAAAAAAAAAAAAAAAAAAAAATGATTTTAATGTGTAAGTACGTTATTTTGATATAAAAATGTGTATAAAGTATAAACAGTAATGATTATCGTACTTAATTCGTAATCATTATCGTTCGATGTCAATTAATAAGTCGTCTGTGTTCTAAAAATATCGAGTGCAGAAAGTCCAATATCGGCAAAAGTCAAAACCGTAGGGTTTCAATAAAATTATCTGAATACCGATCGAATTAAATGAACAGCGACATCATCAGTTATGAGTCTTTTATTATAAATATTAAACACCTATAAAATAAAAATCCGTCGTGGCGTGGTCGACTATATACCATGTATTATTAATTTCAAGTATATATATTTCTCTTTTTTTGAAAATTAAAAAACCACTGATCTATTACAGAATATGAATACAGAATGCTTTTATTAAAATTGCTTTCACATTTGATATAATATGATATAACTTACTATAATGTACCTACCAAGTTCAATCAGTCTAAGATTCTTTACCCGAACGCGTTTATTCGGATGGTTTTTTTATGCTGCATTGTTGCCTATCATGTTATTTCTTTCAATTGTCTGTGACAAAAGAAATGCTAATAATATACAAGATACTTAAATTTGAGTCAAAAGTACCTACTTAAACGGCGACACATTGAAGAAGACGATTGAATCGATGGCGATTCCGTATGACAGAAATAGGTAAATTATATACATTTTTATTATTATTGTTGTATAGATTAATGTTTGATATTCGAAAACATTTTAACCGGTCCCTCGTCTTTAAAATAATAATAATAATTATAAATTATAATAATATATTATATTGTGTGTGGTCGAGTTTCTTTGATATTTTATAATAATATTATATTATGTTCAAGGTTTTATTTACCCTTTTTTTTAATATATTTTCTTGAATGAATGTTATAGTATTTTGAGAAATTGACCTTTGTCGTATTATACGTACAATATAATGCATACCACACGAGTGTACCTTACGACCCCACATGGCTACATGGGGCTGTATTACACCGTGAACGATCGCATACATTGATAATCTAAACATAATGTTGGTAAGAACGAACTAAAACCCATCCTACTTAAATCTATAAACTTATGATTTAAAGATCGGATTCTCGTACAATTGCATATTTTTATGGCGTGTCCAAAATTCTATAAAAACAAGCTACAAATCTAAATCAAGAGATGTAGATTAGTTTATAGAAATTTTTATATTGCATAAAATTACACGTTTCTGGTTTTTTTTTTTTTTTATTAGTACTTTTATTAGTTATTAGTACTTCTGTACAAACATTTTTGCTGTATATTCTAATATTTTATATTATATTACCATCAACTATCTACTTAGTACTTATCATTATTCACTGCTATATTATGTTGTTATGTGAAGCATTAGAGTTTTATATCCAATAATACAATTATATATATAAATACCGATATAATATGACGTAATTAAGAGAATGACTATGGGTATTACGATTGTCGATAAATTATCGAATATCGATACATATACACTTACAGTACTACAGTCTATCCACAGCAGTTGTGGTCAACTCGTGTTTTATACTATAAATTTTATAGTTGATATTTATTACATGATATTATTTAATTTAAAATATCAGAGATTGGACATAATTTTATGAAAAAAAACTTGAAAATGTAAATGATTGTATTATTTTTTAATCAAGTGTTGTAAAGTCAGCTATAGTGGCTATATAGTATAATATACGCATACCTATTATCAGTACATTATTATTTTGATTAAATTAAATTCATTTTTTTTTTAAATTTTATATTTTAATATAATAGGTACTTAATGGTTAAT